TGTGGGCAGTCTGGCAAAGTCTTACTCCCAGCTCGGTAGCAGTCACCTGCCACGAGTACAAGAAAACCGAATGCTGTCTTAAAGCATGTAAAGGATTGTTCCCGGCAGTGAGGGAAATGACTGGTCCCAAAAACCTTGTAATTTTTCTGGTGGTGAATGTACTTTCTTGCTCTTCTGAAAGAGAAGAGAGTACAAATGCATCCTGTCGTCCTACGTGTCTGAAGGGCCCCCGCTGCCCCTTCTCTGCCCCACTGGGGTTGGTTTTGCTCACCTCTCCTGGGATGTGAGCCTGCTTGCTCACCCCATACTTCCTAGCGCTTTTTAATCTTTGAATGTCTTGTCTTTACTCCTTTGCTAACCTTGTTTATGCTGTTTCCTCTAAATTTCTCTCAAAAGCCAACCGTTCCGCTCAAGCTATTTGCTAATGTTGTGGTTAGTGGACCTAAGGCAGTTTGGAGTGTGGTTGTCTGGCGGGCGTACACAAGTGCAGAGCTGTGCTTGTCTGCTGGGAGTTTTGAGTACTTTGGTGTGCAGGTTGGCTCCTTGGGTGAAAACTTGTCAGAGCTAACACCATGCTGAGGATGAAGGGCCCCATCTCTATTATATCGAGACATCCTGGCTGCACTTGCAATTTGCGAAGGGTGAGCTGAAAGAGTGGATGTCTGGGTGTGGCCATCGGTAGAGAAAGAAGAGCTGGTGTGACTCAGAATGACAAGGCAGAAGGATTGCGCTTTGGAGGAGGCAAGATGTTGGCAGGGGTCATTAAGGTTTTTTTGGAAGAAGGGTTTTAACTGCAGCTGTTTGAAGTGTGCAGATAGAAATGGTGTGGTGTCATGGGGAAGGCAGCTAAAGGCTTTATTTTTTCTGAAGTATAAGGTAATTGTCTAATTGAAATACCAAGCGGATATATAGTTTCTGTTTAGAGACTACCAGGAGGCTGGTTGCTTTTAGTACCTCACTGGCTGGCTGAGCATCGAGTGCCCATACGGACGCTCGGACACACCGAGCAGGCCGCTCTGCGGGTCATCAGGCTCTGTTAGTGCCAAATGTAGGCAGGCAGGACTGGGTAGTGAGGAAGTCCCTCTAAGCATGTGGTACAGGCGATGGAGTCAAATGGCTGCGAAGAGCTCTCGGTTGGTATGGAGAGTGGATGGTGCAGAGGTACAGAATGACATGCTTGTGGGTTTTCTTTTATAAGGTGTTTCCTTTGGTGAGATCTGACATCTTGTTTCTGTTAAGCTGAAAATGTTGTGAGTTGGATGAGAAATTGCTAGAGCCTTCTGCTTTTTTAAAACATCTCAACTTTGCGCTAAAGAATGATCGCTTTGCATGCGTCTTTCCACCGCACGGTGTCCTACAGTAACTTTCCTCATTTCTCTGACAGGCTGGTAACGAATGCGTGTATTTAGTTCCCTGCCATTCCTGGATATTCAGTGGGGAGAGCTCGGGATGACAGGGGCCTGGAGGCAGTGCTGTGGGTTTCCTATGCGTTCTCATGTTCCTGGAAGTGGATGTTTTGTGTGGCATGCGGCATGCTGTGTGTTAAATACAGATGATGAGTAGGGCTGTCTGGCTGACCTCTCTGGGGTGGTTAAGTTCCTGATGGGTGCAGGAAAGAGGTTTTCTCATCCTTGTCACCTGTGGCATGAGGGAGGGTGTGGGCAAAGCAGGGAGGGATGGAAGGGTGTGGATGGGGAAGTGTCAGTACTCACCCTTTCAAAGACAGCCAGCAGCATTGCTGCTTTGGCTGTTGGAGGAACTATGCCTGCAGAGCCCTGGAAAACTACAGTACTAACACGATTTGTGTGTTATCTCTTGGTTGAGGCAGTCTTACCATGTAGACACCAGGTGAAAAATCCCCTGCTGTTATCTCCTATCTGAAGAAGGATAGAGAGCTCTGTGGTGCAACATTCAGGTGATCAGTCGCGCCAGGACTGTATTGACAGCATGCTTTGTCATCTGGAGGCCGAACCCAGAACCAGGGTTAGTGTTCCTGGAGGCAGGGCAGGACGACAAGAAGGGCAGGCCACTGATGTGGTATGTCAGGCAGGGACTTCCCAGCCTCCCTGGTCGGGCCTATTCCTTTTGCTGCTCTCTCACCTGTGTGCAGCACTGATCCGTCCCGGGGGTGACTCCAGCAGATGTATCATACAGTGCAGAGAGCTGTGTTAGCACCGTTTAATTCAGCCCCGCTGGAGGTGAGTTTCTGGAGCAAAGCAGCACATTGGGCTATGCTATTTGTGGACAATGTTTGCATAGGTAGTTGTATAGTAACCTGTACTGTCAGTAGTACAGAGCTGTCCTTTCTCTGCTGTTCCTGTAGTTGCAGTCATTGGTAATTTCTCAAGATGGTAGGTGCCCACATGCCTTCCTCCTTACGTACCTGGCTATTTTCCAGTTAATTTTCTCCTCGCTCCTGAATTTTTGTGGCATTTAAAAGTATAATCATGTGCTTCAAACCAACAGGCTGTGCCCTGTACTCAGCAGTGCTGTCCCTCGCTTAACACTGGGTGCTGCTTTGCACTGCCTCACCTTCTCAAAAATGTCATGAAATCCTACCTTGTGTACTTTGTGTGACCCAGAGTATCTTTTGGGGCATTTGTTACTTGAGGTCTATTGCATGACTATAAATGGTGGTGCTACTGTACCTCTTGCAGCATTACAGCTCATTCAAAAACACGCTTGTGATGTTTGAACTCCATTATTAGCATGCTTTGAAGTGATAACCACTGAAGAACTCAGTTGTAATTAAGAATATGGGGGTCATCTCTGTACATCAAGTTTGGGTGTTAATTTTTCAAGTCTGCTGGAGCAAAGATGCTCTAATCCAGGTGTGTTTCTGCATGTTAGGTAAGTGTCTTGAGAGAACTTCTCCACAGAAGTAAAATGAACGTAGATAGCTGGAAGCAGATCGTTTCTGACTTTGCTGTCCCTAAACCGTTTTTGGGGGTGGTGATGGAGGTGCTTGGTTACTAGCCCAAGCGCTAGTCCTGCCTGAATTAGCCATACCTGTGGTCGGAAAAGTTACACATTTCTTATAAGCAGCAGTTGAATATTCTTGGTCCCATTTTCAGGACAGACCTCAAAGAGCAGTTGCTTCTCCTGGGAGTGTAAGGATAGGTGTGTACAAGCTTCTGGTTTGCTGGCCACAGAAGGGTTCCTTGGCTTTTCCACCATGCCAAAGTTCATCTTCTCCTCTTAGCAGAGAGCAGGAAGGCCGGGCAGATGCAGGTGGTCCTCGTCTTGTCCTCAGTGTTAGCTGCTTTCTGTTGCCCTGTAAATAGTGGGCTCTTTCAGGAACTCCCTTGTAAGTATCTGGGGGTTTGTGACTGTTCCTACAGACTGAGCTGCTTGGGATGTGAAGTAACACGCTGGTTTGAGCATCACCACTGGTGCTTTTCATCTTGCTTGCAAGTGTGAGCAGCAGAGGCTGCAGCCCAAGAGCTCCCTGTTAGGGACCGGGATACTAAGTGATTAAGACAAAAACTGCTCACCAGCAGCTCAGACATCATATATGTTTAATATTTTATGGATTGTGAATTATTAAATGATTCGGATGAAAATATGTAGTGCATCAAGCAGTATTTTTTGCTAATAATTGGCATTTTATAGTATTGCTTTCTGTTAAAGTTTAAATTGAAAGACTGATGTGAAACTGCTCTCAGGGTGTGGTTACTGCTGAAGAGTGTAAAAGGTAGCAAACTGTACTTTCTCGTGATAAAGTGTTTGCTGTCATACTGAGGGTGAAACCATTTTGCTCAAGGACAAGGCTTGCAGACAGAGTTAAAGTGGGTGTAATAGAGTGTATTATCTCTCCCTCCAGACTTGTCCTGCCTGTGCTCTTAGACTACCGTGGCTACAACAGAGTACCTGCATTGAAAGTTTACGTGTGTGTTGTGAAGGGGACCTTTAATAATTTATTAAAAATGACGGCAAAATATCTTTACTAAACAGAAGAATCAGTTCTCAACAAAATTAGAGCATCTTTTAAACTCCGGTGGTTCCGCTGTTGGAGTTGAAATTAATTTATATAAAATTCAAGTTAATTTGGCAAAATCAAACTTCTTTTAATACAGAGTTGACTAACTGAAAGACATTTTTATAAAAATCGTTGTCCTGATTTCGGCAGGGATAGAGTTAATTTTCTTCCTAGTGGCTGGTACAGAGCTGTGTTTTGGATTTAGGATGAGAACAAAGTTGATAACACACCGATGTTTTAGTTGTTGCTGAGCAGTGCTTACACTAGTCAAGGACTTTTCAGCTTCCCGTGCTCTACCGACTGAGCAGGCTGGAGGTGCACAAGAAGCTGGGAGGGGGCACAGCCAGGACAGCTGACCCCAACTGGCCAAAGGGACATTCCATACCATGTGCCGTCACGCTCAGTACATAAACTGGGGGAAAGCTGGCCGGGGGGGGCCGCTGCTCGGGGACTGGCTGGGCATCGGTCGGAGGGTGGTGAGCAATTAT